CAGTAAGAACAGTGGTGTTACAAACAGATCTGCTCTAAAGCCCTGTCTCTGAAGAATTGTCAACTCCAGTTTTTCACTTTCTAACCCAGATTCACTCTGTGTTTACTGTGAGTCAAACCAAACTCCTGTGTCTAAGCTCCTGGCAAATTTGGGCAGTGTTCCTGACCTTCCTCCTCATCCAACACTTTCAGCATTTTTGTTTTTGGAAGGCTTTAGACACATGCCTATCTAGCAGCAGCACATAAAAGCAGACCTTTATTTATTATTTTCTCCTGCATTTGGCACTGTAGAGAAGCTGAATCAAAACTTTAAGCCCCCAGGAGGACAGAACATGAACGATTGTTCTGTACTGAGGATTTAGGGTCTAATTCAGCTGCCATTAATCTCAGTAACAAAAGTCTTGTTGCAGGATTTAGAGATCCAGGCCAGGAGTATTGGGGTATTAAGTGGGGAGGGGGCTGAGATGAGGTGAGCAGACACCTGTGTGTGCCAGCCCTGGTCAGAGAGAGGAGGATTGGTGTTCAGAGATGAACTCTGCCCTGGGCTGAGTGTCCAGGAGGGTTTCAACAGAGTCAGCTCTACACCAGAACCAAAAAAAGCAAGTTTAGAAAGGACACATTGTTGGGGATCCCTTAATTGTATGCAGCTGCTTTCAGGGCAGCAGCTTTTTGGTTCAGTATCAGAGTTGCAGCTGGGGCAAAGGGAAATGCTGTTTTTCCCCATTGCAGATTGTTCTGTGGCACAGAACTGCACAAAATAGGTGGTACAGAAAAGGAACCAACATTTGCAATAAACCCCCGTGCTTTGCACACACCAAATGTGTTTTTCTTAGAGCATCCTCCTTGCTGAGCTGTGGAAATCTCAAATGTGGTTTTGCTGCCCTCCTTGGAGTGACTGAGGTGAGACAAACTTTTTGATTCACTGAGTGGTTTCTTACAGAGTTGTTCCCAGAGTACTGGAATGCACTTTTTAATGGCCTTTTTTCAATATTTCTTTTAATAACTTGTAAATACACTTGGACAATTTTCAGTCTGCAATCAGGTCATAAGATTTTTTGGAGAGTGGCTGGATTTCCATCTTTGCTGAGGTACTAAGTGCTAAAAGCTCTCATTCCTTGTCAGACTTTACAGCAGCTGTAAAGGTTTAAAGCTTTTAAAGCTTGCTGAATTGCAATCCTGACTGTGGTTTCCCCCTTCCCTGGGGCAGGGAGATGTCTGTGGATGGAAGTTCCAGGAAACCTCGGCCAAAACCCTTTTGGGATTGTACCCTGTGTACAGACATTGCACCCACAACCACTGGGGTGCAGGGGCAGAGTGTCAGACAGGTAAATACATTACCAGCATCCCATAATAGTCCAACAAGTGACTGGAGGCTTCCAGATGCTGGATTTCAGCCTTTAAATAAAGTAACACTTGGTGGAGTTAGGAGGAATCAATAACAAAATCTTGACTGCTCCATCCTCTGTTACCCACTGACAGAATTTGTAAATCTGTGATGGCTGAAGTTTCTCTTCTGCCCGTGGAGAATCCACAGAATTGGCTGAAAAACACAGAGAAAGAAAAAACAAGAAAATGGAGAGAAGACTTTAACAGAGAAAGAGAGGAGAGGACAAAATATATAAAGGAATTTCCCTGTTCCATGTGCTGGTTTGTTCCCTGCCCATCCCTGGGTAATTTCCCAGATAGTCCCAAATAGCCCCAACAGGAGCCTTTAAATCTGTTTTCTTTGGGAAGATGTTGCAGACTGATGGGTTTCCTTGCTG